TGCCATGGAAAGTGTTCATGTCCTCAGAATAAATGTTCTTTACCTGAAATAGCTGGTTGCTTTTTGAAAGATTGCAAATCAGAATACTAGACGTTGTGAATATACGTTTATTACCTACCTTGCACTTATCTAGCCCTAATAACTGGTGGGAAATGAACAACTTTAAAGCCGCTCAGTAAGTAGCTAGAAATCCGACATATAAAAAATTTTCTTACCAAACTTTAACTGTAATCTCGTTCGGTAGGTTCCAGAACAATGCCTGCAAGTAAGTTAACTGCTAGAATGACTGATTTACTAAATAAAAATGCAAGTTTATTTTTTAAGCCCTCCTTAACAAAGTGAAGCTTTTACGGACTCTTCAGTGTATTTTAAACATTTATTATAGGGAAGATTTGAAACTTATTTAGTAGCCTGGCAATGAACCTACTTCAACGTCTGTTTGAAGCAACGATTGTAAGGGAAAATCTGTACTGATTAGGTTAGGCATCATCAAGGATTAGCTAAAGCCTAAAACTGTGAAAATATGGACAGGCCTTTTTACTCGTAGAAATTAACGCAAAGTAAGTGAACATCACTTTCAAGAAACGGCATTTTTTAAATATTGCTGATGTTGCAAAAAGAAAAAAGTAACATTCTAATGGTTATTGGTCAAAGACGGGAGACCACAGAAAGTTTGGATGATGCAGCTTACCAACTGTCTTCTTTTGTTAGTTATTTGCTAATTATTGAATATCAAAATACTCTACCAAAATGTGCAGGAACAATGGAGGCAAAAAAACTCGCACCTACAATAACATTTTGGCGTTTCTCACTATTTGAGGAATAATGCTTTGTCAAAATAACATTCAAGATAAAAGCAAAAGAAGAAAAAATTGGAAAGATAAGGAAAAGGCGAATCCAGTCATCAGTCACATCCATTAGCATCGGATCTCATCTGCTGTAAAACTCCGAAATATTGTACAGTAATGAAGGGTAATTAATGGGGTCGGCGAACTGCAGAAGTAGGGTACAAATAAGGGGTTCTTAAGAAGGGTTAGGATCAAAATTTTTATTTTGAACTGATATTTACCAAATTGGTCTACAGCAAATATCATTAGTGCCGCAACCAAGTTGTTATTGGGTAAGTCAAGAGCAAAAGCATGGTAATTTTCTACAAATTTATCTAAGACAGTGACAGAAAAATTAAAAACAGTAACAAAACCGCCAAGCCTTGTCAAATTTTTTCAAAATTTTTCCTTGTATTTCTGCTGCTCTTTGTGACTTCTGTAAAGACGTTTTGGAATGGCACTGATGATCCACTAATCAGTGTTGACATTTGCTTGGCCACCTGCGAAACTTAGTTGTTGGTCAGCAGTTTGGGCGCTCTCTTATGTCATAAACATTTTGCTCATCAGTTATGTCAAAAAAAAAAGCCAGTAAATATGTTGATGGAAGTTTTGTATTTGCAAATCTCCAATCAAGTTTTGTATGTTTGCTAGACTGCAGTCGTATAACGCGCTCTTTCAGACACCTTTTTTTGAGACGGACCAATATCAACCATTTGACGAGTACAGGAGACTCAAAGTTCCATTATTCGTAGTGCTACAGATTGATGTGATTACTGTGTGCAGGTGTGTTTCAAACACGGTATTTTTATTAAATTGTTTCATATTCGTTAGTGCAGACCGTCATCATTCATTATTCTATACTAAAGACTTGCTTATATACTGTTGATACTGTCAGAAAATTGTACAATTTCTCCTGGCAGGGAACATTTCCTCATGATTAAGTAGCTTAAAAAGTAGAACAAATGATAATTTTTGTTTCAATTTGCTATTTGACAAGCTCGTTTTTAAAAAAATTTAGTTGTTTAAGCCACGCATATTTTAGGTAACAAAAATGCCTTGCTAAACGTCTTCTTTTTCATTTCGTTCGCAGAACCTTTCATTTACGAAAGAAATTTACGCCACGGAATGAGCAAAAGTGAAATCCAACTATAAAAATTTTGAAACAAAACTGTTTGGACGTTGTAGTCAAAGATCAATGTATTTTAAAAACAAACGTTTTTGATGTTTCTAGACAATGCTGTTTTCATCTGAAAACCAGAATGTTTCGTTAGAAACCACTACATAATCCGAATCATTCCATCCAAAACTTCATCTTTTTGAAATTTTATGAATTTTTTGTTGCTCTGTGCGAAAGCTAAGTCAAGCAAATTGATTTATTAAATGAAGATTTATTCTGAAAAGCGTTCTCAAATTTGCTGCCAGTCAAAGTGTGGACTTGTTTCAGTTTTCTGTGTAAGCAGCTTCGTTGTTAAGGACTTAGCGTTGTAGGTAGTAGTCAGAACCAGGGGATTTTTTCAAAAGCTTTGAACTTTTACTCTTAGGCAAATTAAAAATTAATGAAGTTGGGAAACAAGCAAACACTAATATTCCTTAAAAGCACATCTACAGACCTAATCCCTTCAAACAGTTTGAAACCCCTTTTGAAATGCTTTTCTACTAACTGTTGGAACCAACTTTTTTGATCTGCAAAGTGAATAGCTGGATCGGATCATCAAGTTTACAAAAAAAGTAAAAGAAGAGGTATCCAAACTGCGCGATGATTAATATAACTTAAAAAAACAGTGGAAAGATCAGGCACAGTTCAGCAAACAAGCTGATAACGCCCATAGATATTTTGTCCACCTCTACGCACCAAACTCCACAGGTTTAAAGATTCAAATTAACGAAGCTGTACCTAATTCCTAGGTTACTCCTCTATAACTATTGCTTCCCATAAAAACAGCAGTTACGTGGCAATAGTGATGTTGCATAAATTTTTGTGACGATGTGGGTCAAAAATCCAAATACAGTACAAAAGAAATGTAATGTCCTTCAAAGCCGCCACAAGTCCTTATTAATTATCATTAAAAACATTAAACGACAGAAAGCCACCTAACGGACTCTACCAAGTTTCGCTTCTACCGCTGACCCCAAGTTTTTTTGCTATTCTAATTTAAAATTCACAATGTCACTCGAAAGAGTACCCGTTTAAATTTCGCTTAAGAACTCAACCAACTCACAAAAAAAAACAACCAAATACAAAGAAAAAAAAATTATTATAGAATCGAGACAGAAAAAAGCCAAACAAGAACTAAAAATTTACGACATTTACAGGACAAACAAATGCAAAGTTTCCCTCCTAAACGTTTGTCACCAACTGAAAATTCTTTCAAAAAATTTTGCCTAAGCGAATACACAGCTTTTAATCTAGGTCTTGTACCGTTCACAATACACTTCATCAACTTGACGAAAGTAACCATTCAAAAAAATACCCTCAAAGTTGAAGACAAAACTGCAAAACTACAACCCATAACTCTTAAACTAAACTAGATTTCGAACGCCCACGCAAACCTCCAAATAAGTATTGCTTAAAGAAACATGGCAACACCTGCAGATTTCGAAAATGGTACACTAAGCAAAAAAGAAGAACTATTTAGAAAACCGTACAGAGTGGGAGTTACACCAAACTATTCTAAATATATATATATATATATATATATATATATATA